TGGGGAGGGCGAACGTGTTCTTTGACTTGCGGGGTGGCTGAAGGCCATTAGAGCGGCGATCGGAGGTTATGCTGGTCATTTGCTCTACTAGAAAGTCAAGTGGCCTGCAAGCGGGCGCTCCATACTACTCCTCATCCGATGCAAAGTGTGCCTGTGTCCTGGCGCTCGTGTATCTGTGCATGTGCAAGAATCTTGAATGGTCGCTCAGCATCGATACGGGATACACAGCATGTATGGTGAGATGCCTTGGACCATACACCCTACTCTTGGATGGCTATCTACCTATCTGTTGCATTCTTGATTCATTCTGATATATTGCATGTACGAGGTAACAATCTGAATGATAATCACAATAAGCTTGTTCCTCACTATTGTAGCATTGCTCTAGAAATGAGTCTTGCCAGTGTGCACAGCCTATTGGAATCACAAGTTGGAGCAGCTAATGAAATCTACCTGCCCTTCATCTACTCAGTATTCTTCTTTCTTCTGTTTGCCAACCTGAGGAGTAACATTCCTTACTCATGTGCAGTGTTCACTAGTACGCTCAGAAGTCTCGGACTTGGTGTGATTATCCTTACTCAACAGTGTGATGCCAAGACCTTAAATCAGCGCTGACCATGAAACAGAGTGAAGGGGACCTACGCGAACAGATGAAAGGATCGTGGTCTGCTGTAACTCTTGACTCGATCACCTGAAGCTCGTGAAGCAGGAGTTCCGAGGAATCGCAGGTCAGTCGTGAGTCTTGAGTCGTGAGTGCTGCTGATGAGCATACGCTGCGCGGTGGGTGAACTTGCGCGAAGCGCTTTAGCGCCGGCAATCTTTCGTCAAAAGACGCGTTGCGGAGATCGCCGAGATGATGGCGCGTCGCGCTTCACGTACGGACTTGCCCACCAAACACAACACCAAGTTGACGAGTCGTGACGAGTGCTCCTCTCCTTCATCATGCACCACCAGCAAGCACCGCATGTATGGAGCCCCACATTTGCATGGGCCAAAGTCATGCGAGATGGACTTCCTGGATAAGATTACCGACCGATTGCACCTTCTTCTCGGCACTCACGGCGTCTTGGGCAAGCTCCGCTCAGACATGTGCCTACGGGATCGTGCGAACGTCGACGGGCTTTGTTCGCCCGTATTAGCGCCGGTAATGAGCGAATGAGCTGCTAGTTGCTAGTGCCATACCATACTTCTTCGCACAATCAAGGTGTTAATTGGCAGCCTTGATGCAGACAAGCAGACCAGGCACAACCACGATGTTCTCGCCTTCTGCGCAAATTGGCCGGATGCCGTGAGCGAGAACAAGCCCATGAATGAATACGCCCCCGTCCCGATGAGCAGGCCCCGCTCACGAGGGTGCGAGGATCTTTCAGCTCCACGCCTCGGCGCTTCGCGAGACTTGTATAAGAGGCAGCATTCCAAATCTGAGGATCCTTGCCCTGCCTGCTCCAAGCAAACCATTGCGAATGCCGACCGCTGACAGAGACAGCATGGTGACACTTGTCAAGCGCTCCTTGAGCTTCAGCGCTCTGCTGAGCACCCTTCTACTGATATGTCTGCTCTCACAGCACCTTCAGCCTGCGTCCGCGCTCGCCATTCCTCACCCAATAGCTCAAAGTGACACTGAGATCGCCGCTCGTCAAAATTCGGGACAAGGTGCGGTGAGGTGGGACGGTACTAGCTTGTTCATCGCCGGCACTCCCATCACTCTGTGGAGCGGCGAAATTCACCCTTGGCGCCTTCCTGTTCCAGGTTTGTGAGTTGGCTTCCCTCTTCCACCAGCCGCGTCGTCTCTCACATCAGCTTTCTTGATGCCGACAGGTGGAGAGATGTTCTGCAGAAGTTAAAGGTGAACTTTCTTGCATCGGCGCGCTTTCACAGGCCGCTCAGCGGGCTCACGTATTTCACTTTCTCGCTCGCAGAGCGGAGGCTTCAATGCCATCTCCATTTATACCCATTGGGGCCTCACAATGCCGGCCAACGATGCCAGTTCGATCTCTCAAAAGGGCTTCAACGACATTGCTCACTTTCTTGACACCGCACGCGATGTCGGTCTGTTCGTCATCGTTCGCCCAGGACCCTACATCAACGCTGAGACGACCGGCGGAGGCATGCCTGGCTGGGTGCAAAATCTCAATGCGACGCTACGCACGACCGACGATGCGTATCGACGAGCATGGACGCCTTACTTGGACGCCGTCGTGGATGTCACAAAGCCACGCCAGGTCAAGCTGGGTGCAGATGGCAAGCTAGACACGTCCGCAGGCTCCGTCATTGCTGTCCAAGTGGAGAATGAATTCCAGGACAAACTCAACGGAGCGTACAAAGCTCATTTCGACGAGCTGATAGCGTACTACAAGGGCAAAGGTTTGGAGGTGCCGCTAACCTTTAACTCGCTAGAGGGTCGCAACGACTTTCAAAGCGATGAGTCGCTGGACATTTGGGGCGTAGACTCCTACCCCCAAGGTTTCGACTGTGGCTCGCCCAGCAAATGGAGTCCTACAAAGAACTACACTGAGAGCACACACGTGCGCTCCAGTAATCCCAACTTCATTCCAGAGTTTCAGGTAAGTGCGCGTCCTCCGGATGCGACACGCAGATGGATCTTTGATCGTACAGTTGTTCCTCGCCGCATCAGGGAGGGTCGTACGACCCCTTCGGCGGCTACGGTTACCAAGCTTGTGCACAGCTCACTGGGCCGGATTTCATTCGAGTCTTTGACAAGGATGTTCTGTCTCAGGGTCTGAAAATGATCTCGCAGTACATGGGATGTGAGTGCCGAGTGGACCTCAGCAGGTATTTTGCTAGCCGCTGACCTGCCCATGAGAACCCGCTATCCAGACGGCGGTACCAATTGGGGACACTTGGCATTCGGTGGTCTCGTCTATACTTCATACTCATACGCAAGTAGCGCACAACTCGCGTGTCTATTAGCTTTGCACTGACAACGAACGGTTTCATCTTCGTGCGCGCAGGGTGCATCCTTGGCGGAAAATCGCATCAAGCTCGACAAGCTCTACGAGAATGCTCAGCTCGGACGCTTCCTTGCCTCGTTTCCTGCGTTCAGTCGAGCCACTCTCAGGTCACGACAAGCAACCAACGGTATCCTGGTCAGCGAACTACGAGATGGAGATTCTGGATTCTATGTGGTCCGTCATGAAGACTCCACCTCGACTCAGACGAGCAGCTTCAAGCTCGACGTTCAGACGATTGGTGGTCAATTCAAGATTCCACAAGAGAGCGAAGGCATTTCCTTGCTCGGCCGCGACTCTGTCATCGTTCCGGTATCTCGAGTGCTGAGCGCTTCCAAGGCGACCTTGCTCTACTCCACCGCAGATGTGAGCGTCGTGTCCGTCATAGATGGCCGTGACGTGGTGCTCGCGCATGGACATGCCGCACAACAACACGAGCTGCTGCTTCAGTCTAACGGCGACAAGCTAGCGACCACAGCGCAAGTAGACGGCGTGACGGTGAAAGATACCGACAAGGGCTTGCTCATCACTTGGAAAGCTGTCGCAGGTACTGCCGCTTCGTACGTCCCGCTCACGGCAGGCGACAACGATCTGTTGTTGATCCTCAGTTCCACAGAGGCCGCCTACCTCTCGGCACCGATGTCGACCGCTCCTGCAGGGAGTCTCGAGTACATTACAGGATTTGGAGAGCATGTGCTCATCAGCGGTCTGTATCACGTTGCAAACGCCACGGTGGACGGATCGACGCTTCGCATCGTTGGTCAAGTCAATGCCACGACGACGGCGCTAGAGGTGGTCGCGCCAGCAGCTGTGACGGCCCTCACATTCAACGGGGCTGAGGTCAAGACGACACGCACCGATTACGGCTCGCTCAAGGGAACGTTGTCCGGTCCATCTGATGCGGCGAAAAGCTGGAAAGCGCCCGCTCTACAAGGATGGAAATCTGCCGACAGTCTGCCGGAAATTGCGTCCGACTTTGATGCGTCGAAAGGTGCGCAGCTCGGATATCGATCGCGGCTTCAAGCGCGCTTCCACTGATGCCTGCCTGCCTCTGAGAATATAGATTTCATCGCAGCGAACCTGACGAGTACTCCCAATTCGTGGTTCGAAGCCAACGCGACAAATGGCACCGTACTTTTTGTGAGCTTCGCGAACCTTCTCGTCATTATGGAATGCGCTCTTAGATAATTTTCCACGCGCCACACCATACCTGCGCCATCACAGGCAGATGCGTACGGCTTCCATGCCGGCAACGTGATCTGGCGGGGAAGCGTCGAGGGAGGCCAAAGCCGACCGACCGGACTGCAATTGAGCGTGCAAGGAGGCAAGGTGAGGAATTTTGAAATTTGCAAACGCAATTCGTCATGTGCTGACGCGTACCGTCTCCGGCCTCAAAGTTCTTTGCCGCCTCGATCTGGCTCAATCAGACATTCCTGGGGTCTTTGGAAGGCAGCTCTTCGGTGGATGTCGCCAACGCCACCTTTGTGAGCGCAAAGTTGACACGCCATCACCGTCGCTCGGCTGACAATTCGTCCTCTCGTGTTGCCTTGCAGAGTTTCGACGCCCTCCCGGCTGGCAAGAGCATTCTGACGGTCCTGCAGGACTCGACAGGCTTGGAAGAGGCATCAAGCGACAACACCATCGTGCCGAATGCGCTCCCTCGGGAAGTGGCAAAGAAGCCTCGCGGCATCACAAACTTTAGGTGGACCGGAGCTCAGAACGATGCGCAGCCTCGAGTGGAGTGGAGCATTGCTGGTAATTTCGGTGGAGAACGCTACCCCGACAAGACGCGCGGACCATTGAATGAAGGTGGACTGTACGGGTGAGTGGGCCATGTGAGAGCAAGAGGAGAGAGAGGGATCGCCAGCTGACTCTGACGCGCGCTCTCAGCGAGAGACAAGGCTGGCATCTCCCCGGATTCGACGACAGCAAGTGGGAGGCGCACGAGCTCAGCGCAGGTCTCACTGCCCCAGGCGTCAAATTCTTCCGCACAAGCGTCGACCTGGACGTGCCGACAGGCCACGATCTTCCCCTCTCGCTCGTCTTTTCCAACGACGGGGGAACAGACTCCCAAAATTCTCGCCCCACGTCCAGATTTCTCCTCTTCGTCAACGGTTGGCAATTCGGTCAAAGACTGACAAGGTGGGGACCTCAGACCGTCTTTCCAATCCCTCCTGGAATTTTGGACCCGCGTGGAAAGAACGAGATAGCGGTTGCGGCTTGGGCAGTCGACGAAACCGGCGCAAAGGCATCGCTTGCCTTCCAAGTCGACGATGTGTTCGCTGGTGACGTCGACTATGCTCTCGTTAACCCGTCCATTGAGACTGTTCGCGGTGCACCGTCTGCATAAGACGGTGCTCTGCAGAAATGGTAAGGTGACCCATGATTGCGCGCAGACGACGCTCTTTCTCGCCCAATCGCCATGCCTGATGAACAGTGTGTTGCCGGAATGCTCCTTCTGCTGTGTGCACCGTCTCAGCGTTTTGGCCTAGCTAAAGAGGGCCTCCAGGATCACTGCTGAGCGTGTGTGGCAGCACCTTGTTGGAATTGCGGCTGAGAGTAGTACCAAGCAGCGTAGCCTGGATCGTTTGGGTTGGGATACATTTGACCTTGGGGTTGATGCTGCTGCTGTGCCTGTTGCTGATGCGGCGGCGGTGGCGCTTGATATTGAGCGCTGCTGGCAGGCTGTTGCGGATATTGCTGTTGTTGGTGCCAACCAGGTGCCCATGGAGCTGCCTGCTGCGGCGCATATGGTGAGAAAGGCTGAGCCGATGGCGCGCGACCATCAGAGTGCGCGGTCGATGCGAAGGAATCTGCCCTTTGCAACGTTGGCGGCGGTGCTTGATGCGGCGCGCCAAAATGAGGTTGAGCTTGGGGACCTGCAATAGCAGAGTCGAAGACTCCCCTAGCGTGGATATAGCTATCGTTTAGGTTTCTCAAATCAGTCACCTTGTGATTGTACTGCTCCATCAAACGAACGATCTTTGGTCGAAGCGAAATGCACTGTTGGTACAAATCCTAAAATGGATTGCGTGCCAGACCGACTCAGTGATCAGCACGCGTCCCTCGGTCCTCACGGAACGCACCGCGCCCTCACTTGAAGCTCATCATCTTCCGCCAAGCTTTGACGAGCGGGATCAAAGCTGCGCAGTTTGTTAACGAGCTTGTCAATGTTGGCGGCCTCTGCAAACACGGCAGCCTCGCCTTCTGCTTCCTTTTGCAATTCGACTGGCGTCTTGTCCGGAAGCGGTTCCTGACACGTGGCAAGTCTCGAGGGTGTCGGTCAAACCAACGCCCTGTGTTGCTTTCGCACCGTTGTACTCACGACGTAATTGACGGGAAAGATTCCCGCTTGACCTCGCAATTCGCCGCGCCACCAGTGTTCGTACAGAGAGTCGAGAACTCTGATGACGTCGCCTTTGTAGAATGCCAGCTCGTTGTGCTCCGTAGGTGCAAAGTCGTACAGTGCACGCACCTTTGCGGGAGCAGCCTGTGCAGTTGGCGTCTCAACGACAGGCGGCTGCGAGGGGGCAGAAGGCGCGGAGCTAAAAGCTGTGCTGCTCGACGTCCGGGTGGTGTTGGGAACATAGCCGCTGCTGTCGGCCGTGGAAGGATTGTAGGATGAGCGACCCCCCACATCCAGCTTTGACAGCTCCAGAACGCGTTGCAACTCCTCATCTTCCCGTGAGAGCTGCGCAGCAGACTGTCGGGGTGGTCAGGATACAGTAATGGTGAGAACAAGGCAGAAAGCGGGAACATCAACCCTCAGCAGCTGCACAGAGCACTGACCGGCTTCGGAGGGGCAGCAGGCTGTTGAACGTCAAATGAAACGCCTGCGAGGAGCGAGGATGCGGTGCGCGCATGCGGGAGTAAGCAGCGATTCAACGAGGCTCGGACCTTCGCGGCAAGCGGTGCTGTGGAACAAGTTGCTCACCTTGACCTCTCAAGCTTTGAAGCGTTTCCGACAGCAAACCACCTTCCTCGCGATTGCCCCACTCTGTATTCCACTCGTTGAGCAGCCTCCAAGTTTTTTGCTTGACGACCATGTGAGCGGTCGCATCCTTCAACAACCTCTTGATCTGATCCAAGAAGCCCTTGCCAGCCAATTCCCTCTTGGCATCCGCTCCCACATTCTTGCACAGAGAATCGCAGAGGGTGAGCGAAAAGAGCTGCACGTTGGCCGACTTGTGTTGAATGCGCCTAGACAGAGAGGCAACGACATCTCTCGCACCTTGAGATCCTCCCCTGGACACCTTTTCGCACACCGTCAAGTTTAGATCCCAGTTCTCTGAAGTCAGGTTCTCCGAGGTGGCCCGCTGAACCAAGTCGTCGTACGCGTTGGTTGACTTGAACATCGTCCAGGCACTGTTGATATCGGGAGCGGGACGCAAGAGCGCGGATGTTCGGGGCCCTGCGTTGTTTTGCGTGTGCAGAGATGTGGTGGTGATGGTGGTCATCCGACTGTACGTCGTTGTAATCATGAAGGTGGTCTCGACGGAGCTGCAAGCACACGCTCACCCAGTCTTGAGTGTGGCTGAGCAGGTACGTGCATGCGCGCGCACGTGATCCCTCAGTTCACTTGTCGAGCGGCGCGCGCAACGCGATCGTCGGTCAAAAGTTGTAAGCACTTCGCAATCTGAGAGGTGTCCGAACCGACACTCAACTCTTGACCCTACCACCAGTTCATGAGTGATCGACAGAGGCACAATAGGATACTCGCGTCTCGTACATCGACAAGCTCGAAGGACCCATTGACTTGATACAATGTGTGAGTGGCTTGGGCGTCCACGATGTCGAGGATAGCACGCCTACTCACGACCGCTCAACGCTCTCTCCCGCTCGACAGCGGGCTTTAGCTTTGGGGGTGGTGGCTCCGGCTCCAATCCTCCCAAACCAGGAGGCTTCTCGTTCGGGAATGCTGGCGCCTCTACACCTGCATTCAGCTTCGGAGGTGCTGGTAACACGACCTCGCCTGCTACCACCCAGGCTCCAGCAACTTCCTTCAGCTTTGGCGGCAGTTCCAACAACAGCAACACTGGCAGCACTGGCAGCATTTTTGGCGGTCCATCCAAGCCAGCTCCCTCCACGCCAGCTGCGAGTACTGGAGGTGGATTCAACTTTGGAAGTGCACCATCAGGCTCCACCTCGGCTAATCCTTCCACGACTCCAGCCGCCGCTCCACCGACCAACATCTTCGGCGGCGGCGGTGCTGCTTCCAAAGCGCCGGCAACAGGAGGAATCTTTGGAGCTGCACCAGCTGCCAACAAACCCGCAGCGTCTGCTTCAGCTGCCGGCGCCTTCTCAGGCTTTGGAGCGGCGAACGCGAACGCACCAGCAACTTCTGCGCAAGGTCAAGCGACTGGCACCACTGCGCCTTCCGCTGCGAAACCGTTCAGCTTCGGTCAGTCAACAACGCCTGGTAATGGTGTAGGAGCTTCGCAATCTCAAGGCGCGAACCCGGCTTCCGGTACCCCTCTTTTTGGTTCCAAGCCAACTTCAGGTGCAAGCACCCCTTCAGCTACTCCAGCTGGAGGATTTTCGTTCGGAGGCGCATCTGCATCGTCCACCACAGCTCCGAAAGCAGGCACGACCACGACTTCTGGTACCCCTCTATTTGGTTCCAAGTCAACTTCAGGCGCTAGCACCCCTTCAGCCTCCCCAGCTGGAGGGTTTTCGTTTGGAGGCGCATCTGCATCGTCCACCACAGCTATGAAAGCAGGCGGCTTCTCTTTCGGTGCTAAACCCCCGTCTGCAGAGCCAGCCGCGTCCACAGGCTTTGATCTCTTTAGCAAACAACCGGACAAACCAGCAGAGGCCAACAAACCTACCGATGGTGCTGCACCTGATGCTCCTAAACCTCAGAGCGCGCCTACCGCAGCTGCGCCAACTTTTTCAGGCTTTGGCGGTGCTTTCGGAAAGCCCGCAGCTTCGACAGGTGCTTCTGCTACTCCTGCTTCTTCGAGCTCCACGGCACCTTCGACAGGAAATACACCAGCAAATGCGCCCAAGCCTACCGGAACATTCTCATTTGGAGCAGCTCCTCCCGCACCAGCTTCGGCAGGCGCACCTGACAGTGGAGTGGCAACGCCCGCTGCCGCTGCACCGTCTCTATCTCTGGGTGGCCTGTTCGGCCAAAAGCCTGCCGAAAAGACAGATGCACCGAAAGCTTCGGAAAGTGAGAAGCCTGCTGCCCCAGCCGCCACGGCTAACCCCACTGGCGGTCTCTTTGGTGCCAAACCTGCCTCATCTGCTGCAGAGGCTGCCCCCACAGGCAGCCTCTTTGGCGCCAAATCGGCGCAGCCCTCAGCTTCGGCCCCAGGCACCAGTGCTGCGCCAGCGCAACCATCTACGACAGCGCCTGCATCGTCCACCGCTGCTTCCACGGCGTCGACGGCAGCGCCGGCCAAACCAGCAGCTCCTGCACCCCCACCTTCGCTGCTCAAGGGCAAAACCATGGAGGAGATCGTCAACAAGTGGACTAGCGAGCTGGATCAGAGCACGAGAGAGTTTGCAAGACAGGCTGAAGAAGTCGGCATGTGGGACGAGCAGCTGAGAAACAGCGGAGAGCAGGTAAGTTTCGGCGTCACGTAGGCACGCTTCGCATATCCATTCACACGCCTCCATCCTCCTTCAGATCGGCACGCTAATGTCGGCATTACAGAGTGCGGAAGATCGCCAGTCAGGCATCAATCAGACGCTGGACCAAGTAGAGCAGCGTCAGACGGACTTAGAGGCGCTGCTAGAGGCTTTCGAGACTCAGATTGCGCATTTGTCAGAGGGCCAGAGCGGTACCATCTCTTACGGTCTTGGTGGTTCCTCCAACATGAGGACCATGGAAATGGGAGCTGCGGATGCCGAGCGCGAAAGAGCGTGAGTTCAACGCCGTCCTGCGCATGCGTGTCTGTACAGGCGCTGATCTCCCGTCCTCGTTCCATAGCTACACCTTGGCAGAGTCGCTCAACTCTCAACTTGATGATCTATCTCAAAATCTCTCTTCCATGATCACTGAAGTGAATGCATTATCGGGCCACAACACCTCGATCGTCGCTCGTCAGTCCGACCCTTCGCCTTCTTCATTGGGCGCGCTGAGGACCGGGGGAAGGTCGCACGCAGCCGGTACGCAAGAGACGGACCCCATTTCTCAAATTGTGGCCATCCTAAACGCACACTTGAGCAGCCTCAGGTGGATCGATGAGAGTGCCACGGGTCTTAAGGAAAAGGTAGAGGATCTCAGAAGGGGCAGAATTGGAGAGTCGTCGGTCGCTGCCGGGAATAGGTACGCTTCGCCAGCTTTTGCTGGCTCGAGAGCTGGCAGCGCTGCACCCGGATACAGAGGGGATTCAAGCGGACTCGGCAATACTACTCGCCGCGGATACGGCTACTAAGCTGTGTCATGAACACACTCACAAACTTCATGAAGCCGGGTCCATACGACCTTTGTCAATCGATGAGGTTCTTGCGTCGGTGTGCCGGCCTTTGCCATGGTCGCTATCATTGCGCAGACGAGTCGGCGTTGAGATTTTGCGGCGTGACATCTATCATTAAGGTGAGGTGGTTGTAATTGGACCATTGGCAGCTTCGTAGATTTGAACGGCGTCCTCACAACGACCGCACAGCCTATCTTCCACCACTGCCTTTCTGTACGTCCTACATCTCGCGCATTTGTGGCCTATCGAGGGGCGAATTTCAAATGCTATGCCGCTATGCACAGCGGGAATTGAGTAAGCTCCTGCTGCACTCGCTGTCCGTGCCACCTTATCCTTCGATAGGTGTACGTGCGAAACCAAGAAGATGGTCGACAACTCCTCGCCTGTGCGACATCGTTGGCAAGGAGACAAAGTATCAGAAGTTGCCAAGGGCATCTTGTCTGCGGCCATCACATACCGTTGCGCTCGAGAATACCTTTCAACGCCTCATTTGTGGAGGCGTCTAGGTCGATGACAACGTCAGTCTCGAGGGCCGCCTTGAGAAGGCTGGAAGGGATGTAGGCAGTCCAGGTGAGGCCGAGCTTGCATGATGAGTCAGCGCGGCACTTACCCATCTTTACGACCGATCTCAAGAGCAGCGAAAATTCCGTTCTTGAGCTCCAGCATCGGATGCATTTGTGCAGCTGCGTCCTCGTCGCGCCACCGTTCATCCTGCAAGTAGTCAAACGTTCTCGAGTCAGCATACAGGAAGCGGAGGCGAGAGAGCCGACGGGAGCACTCACCACCCCTTGCCAGCGGCTGTGAAAGAAGGAGACTGCTCCCGCCTCTTTGGGCTGCGGATCGACGGGCTGATCGGCTCTGAAGTGATGAATCTCTTCTGCAAGATGAGGGGTAATTGGAGCCAGCACGGAGGTGTAGAGCCGCAGGATCTGCACAGCGTCGATGCAACAGCTCAGCGCAAGCTCTGAATTCACCACGCTCGCTTTGGTTGTCTCACCTGGTCTGTCACTGCCAAGACGGCCTTGCGCTGCTCGCTATTCGCACGATCTGCGTAGAGGATATCCTTGGCAATGTCGAGATAAAATGCACTCAACAAATTGTTGGCCGTATGCGTGATCTTTCGCACGACTATTTAGGTGCAAGTGAGAGTCAGTGGGTGAGTAAAGCGGGTGCTTAAACCTCACATCGGTCGGCACTCACCAGAGGCAAAGTCAAAAGTCTCGTAGGCTGTTCTGACGTCGCGGTCAAGCACATACATCTCGTGCAGCATGTATCGATTCAACTACGGCCATGGTCGGCATCAAGCGGTAAGCTACTCCTGCGCGTTCGGCCTCGGAGCGCAACAACTAACCAAACTCAACTCCACGTCCTCAAGGCTAGGGATCTCCGCCGTCGAGATGTTGGCCAACATGAACCTAGCCGTGTTGCGAATCTTTCGGAGAGCTTGATCGGCGTGTTTGATGATCAAAGTGCCGATGGGCACAGATCTTGTATAGTCTGCGGAAGCGGCCCAGAATCGAAGAGGATCGGCGCCATATGCTGGATCGTTTCTTTTATGACCACCATCGATGAAGAACTCGGGTCCAAGCACGTTCTTAAGGCTCTTGCTCATTTTCCACCCTCTCCTATCTGTCACAAAGCCGTGCGTGACCACATTCGCGTACGGCGCGAGAACTGACTCAGCGGCTTGCGAGCTCGTGTCTTGCATTGCGATTCTGGTCAAGAGCGAGGATTGAAACCATCCCCTGTGCTGATCAGTCCCCTCGAAATACACGTCTGCGAGTGGCTGGCCTTCTCTCTCGGCGCCGACCTGCTCAGCCAGGTTTGCCCAGCTGCTGCCGCTGTCAAACCAAACGTCGATCGTATCCGTTCCCTTTCGCCAAGCTTTGAAATCGTCGCGGTATTGAGGCGCGACAAATTCGTCCGCAGCACCCTCCCACCAATAGTCCGTGCCCTTTTCAGCAAGCACGGCGATAATGTGATCGACGTTCTCGGGCGTTATCAGGGCTTCTTCTGTGTCTGCGTCGTACAAGACTGGGATGGGCACACCCCAGGCCCTTTGTCGAGAAATGCACCATTCCGCCCTGCCAGACACCAACGACTGTAAGCGGGCTTTTCCACTGGCCGGGAAGAAGTTGACCTTCTCAAGCGCTTGCAGTGCACGGTTCTTGATTTTGCCTACATCCGCAAACCATTGTGATGTCGCGCTGAATGTCCGGAGACGGTGTAATCAGCTATGCATCGCTCGAACGCGGAGCGACCCGACGCAACGCACCGGACCATTACAGGCTGCTTCAAACGCCAGTCAATTGGGACAGAGTGCTTGAGATGCCAACTCATGAACAAAGCGTCGTTCGCTTCGAGCAATTTGATCACGAGCGCGTCACCACGGTGTCCTGCCATGTAGCCGATGAGGTTTTCTGCACCACCGGACAGCTCCCTGAGCTGTTCTGTGTAGCGACCTTCATCATCGATGGGCGAGAAGAGCTGTTCACGTCTAAGCGCTCCGTGCTCTCGCCACAGCTCGTAATCTTCTGCGCCATGGGCTGGGGCAGTGTGTACAAGCCCCGTTCCACTGGACGCCGTCACATAGCTTGCTGGCAGGATCGGACGGGGCTCAGCATCGTCCGGCAAAAAGCAATGACGATATGTAGAATCCAAAAGCTGAGCGCCTGTGGGTATGTTGGAGTGGTAGCACCGACGTCAGTTTTCGAGAGCGTGTGGCAATGCAATTAGCATTTTACATGATGACTCACCTTTCACGACGACAAGCTCTTCCATAGGCCCAACGCGGTACCTGTTCCCGCCTGCGTCGGAGCCTGGAAGCTTCAAATTTGACAAGAAGCCAATCCTATCTGTCCCAATGAAGAATGTCTCGCCCTGCATCGGGCCTTCTTGCACTCGCACCAAGCTGTAATCGAGCTCTGGATTGACTGCGACTGCCTGGGATAAGGATGCAGGTAAGATAAAATTTGGCGGCAAAGATGAGAACCGTGCGACCTACTTTATTGGAGGGAAGCGTCCAGGGAGTGGTCGTCCAGATCAAGGCGCTGATTGGCTTGCGAGCATTGGCCAGAGCTGCAGATCCGGGCTCATTCATCATCGCCTGCCGCAATTGGGGCCCAATTTGCATGGGGTAGCGGACAAAGACGGTGTGCGACATGAAGTCTTCATGGTATTCCAGCTCGGCTTCCGCAAGTGCCGATCGGGAGGCGTGCGACCAGTAGACGGGCTTGTATGCACGGTAGATGAGTCCTAGTATGCGCCATCGGATGGTCAGTGAGACACCCCAGGGGCCAGAGTGTGCAGGAAAGGCAGCCCACCTTTGTGCACCATCTCCCTGAATATCTGCAGCTGCTTGAGTTCGTACGTGAGATCTGTTCCGCGGATTGTGCTTCGAGACAGTCAATACAAGAATCTGAAACCCAAAGGCGCCGCCTCCTACTCACCGAACGTCCTATAGGTGCTCTGCTCCGCCCAATTGGCCATCAGTGCAAATGACCGGAACCCTAATCGCTGACCATCTATCTCTGTTTCCGCGATGCGTCGCGCCTCTGCTCGGAGAGCCAACGGATCTTGAGTCGGAGGAGCGCCTTCGCTGCTCAGCGTTCCCAGAGCTTTGAGCTCAATAGGCAGACCATGACAGTCCCAACCTGGAGCAAAGCTGCAGAAAGACGAGGAGAAATGGTCAGCCGCTCTTCGCTGTCCAGTAGAGTGTCGCCATCATGGCTCACTGCACGCGGCGGCCTTGCAGCATGTGGTATCTGATGATGACATCCTTGAGGATCTTATTCAACGCGTGACCTGGGCATTTTCGGAATCGTCTCTCAAGTCAGAAAACCTTCGATGCACTGCCGAATCATCTTTCCCCACCTATATGCAAGGGTCCGTTGGCATACGGAGGCCCGTCATGCAACACGAAAGAAGGCCCTGTATTGTTCTCGCGCTGGCAGAAAAGGAAGCCAGGGATGAGCACGGGGCTACAGGGAGCCAGCACTATACATTCCTATACTACGCACTTGCCAAGCATATAGCTCATATGTCGTCCTTCTACGAAAAAGCTTTTCTCTCTTCTCGGGCGACGCGGCCATAGGAAAGGCCGTCTTGGGCAGCTGCAACGTACCGCTGTAAAGCTTCTCGTTCGATGATCCACCGCCGAAAGCTTGCCCCGCTGGCGTCCGATGATGAGCAGGAGGAGGGGCAGGAGCTTCTGTTTGCGCAAACGGAGTCGTGTGCAGCCTTGCTATTCGTCTTAGCGCCACCCTTGATTGTTCGGTTGGGCGAATGCTGTGAGGGCAGCAGCATCGGAACGCCCCTTCCCTGGCTGATAACATCGTGCTCCACATGGCCATGGAAGGCCCTCAGATCCCGAGGAATGTTTGTGCAGATCCGAACATTCTACGATGATGATGTTGCGGAAACGAAATCATTTGCATTCAGTGATTCTTGATCCACTGATTGACTTTTGCGGCGCTCAGTGATCCAGGCTGTTCAAGTCACGCAAGCTAACTTTCTTCTCTCAATTAATAGGCAACAAGTCGAGCCAAGTAGGATGTCACGTGAGCCAGACCTCACGCGCGACCTTGCCCCTGGCCGCACCGCACGGGCGCTCGCTCAGTGGTGACGCTGAATGCAAGGCAGTTTGTATAGCCACTCACGACTCCTCGCGATGCAATCTTGAACCATCATCATCTCCTGAGCTGAGCACCTCCAACTTGACCACCGATCTACCAACAACGCGCCTTCCCGACGCGCTGCGCCCGCTGTCGAGCACAACTCTTCTCACTTCGAATTGATAACCTCGCCCGCATCGACTTTGATCTTGCACAAGATGGTGAGTATCCTGGTGCCCAGTCGGGCCATGTCTTCGGGCCAAAATTGCCATCATACCACAGCTTCGATGTCGCATAGACTGCTGATCCACCTTTGCATCACCTTTGGTCCATCTCACATCAGTCCGCTCAGCAGTCTCAAGGCATTCAGACGCTTTTGGAGGCGGAGAAGGAGGCTGCCAAGATCGTTGCAAAGGCGCGGACTTGTGAGTAGCAGGTGGACAGCCTCACTTGATGGAGAGAGCACCAATGGTATCTGCATATACTAGTCAGAGATGCGTCAAGAGGGGCGGCGTTGTGTAGCTGTCCTCAATCGCCAGGATCTGGTTCTGCGATCGGTGCTCTGATCTAATTTGCGGCACATTATTGCTTTGCTGAAATGGGACTCGGCATCATCCCTTCAGATCGCACACAGAAAATCAAGGATGCTCGTAGTGAGGCTGCCAAGGAGATCGAGGAGCTCAAAGCTACCAAGGAAGCAGAGTTCAAACAGACTCAGAAGGAGGTGAGCAACGAAGCGAGCAAGTCGGCCGATTCGAAAGGCTACCAGCAGTCTCGGTTGCTCTCTAGGTCGTTCTACTGACTGGCAGGGCGACATTCGTATGCTTACACCCCTTCATGCCTACATTCTCGTCCTGCGCTACGCTCTGTAGCACGAAGGCTCTTCCGGCTCGAACCAAGCCAAGGTAGACGCAGCCACCGCAGACCAGCTGAAACAGCTCGAGGAGGCTTTCAAGAAGGTGAGCTCGCATGCGGGCATGTTTTTCACCATTTCCTTTAGCTCATCACAACTGATGCGCGCTCCTGCTCCATCACTTTTAAGAATCGCTCGGGTGTCGTTGACAAGCTGCTGGAGAGGGTTGTGGAGGTCGACCCTCAACCTCACCGTAACCTCAAGACAAGTTCATGATGCTTTCGATTGTGCAGACCCGGACCCGTCGCCACACCCACGATTCTGTGCCGCGATGGCTTCGCATCACTTGCAATCGCAGGACGTTTCACCAATAGCATCCCGCTGCATTCTGAGTGTTTGGCTAAGAGGTACAACGCGCATGAGCTTTCAAGGAGCGTGATGCCTGAAAGGTCAGGGGAAAGATTTGAAGCAGGTAGTGCGCACAACCCGCATTTTCTCCCGTCATGCGTCCTCGATAGCGTCCTGCACCACGTCCAAGTGGAATCTCCTCTTGACCGCTGCAACCTCTGCAGGATCTCCTGTGTTCTTGGTGAGGTCGTCCGAAATCTTGACGCAAGGTTTGCCTTCGATTTCTCGCAGCTTGATGACCATGTTGAGAGCTTTTGATCGTGCAAGAGTGTGCTCAGAGGAGGTGGGGGCTGCGTCATAATCATCCGCTTCCGGGTCTTTCTGATCTTCCAAACGCGCAAAGTCGTTCGTTATGCTTGTTCCGATGCCTAAATGGGTTTCGAGTGGAAGTGAGCAAGGTGACTCACGAGCTGTATGCAGTCGCACCTCTTCCCCGTTCTCGCGGACACTCACCAAAGCCGCACCCTACGCCGTGGTTTTGGGCCGTCTTGGCCAATTCCAAGCAGCGCGCCACGTCAAGTCCGTCCGAAAAGATGACGACCTTTTTGCTGCTGTCCACTCCGAGTTGATCATACACCTCCTTTGTACGCTTGACAAATTGTGCAGGGTCTCCAGAGTCCTGTCGTAGACCTCTCCAACGACGTGCGATTTCTTGTCCTTTTTCGTTGGAAAGCAGGTCGCTGAAAAAGACTCGAGTGCTAAAGGTGTCTGTAGACAGGGTCGCAAGTGGCTGCAGAAGGTCAGACGAGCATGATCGAGCGCATGGTGAAGAGCGAGACTACTCACCAGTGAGCGCTATCGTGAGGTCTTCGGAAGGGTTAGCAGGAGTAAAATGCGGCGCACTGTACACCTCATCCCAGAGCTGCATGGCTCGAAGATTGGCATGCTCATAGCCGTGCAGAGCAGCGACGGCCATCATCCATTCATGAGCGACCGTTCCGATCGGATTGAGGTCGTACAGCTGAGCAAAATGCACGTTGGATGTGCCGAGCAGAGCGCCCGCACCTGCCTGTGAGCCCTCCATCAAGCCTTGCAGCGCAACCTTGTGAGCCAGATAAGACCTTCTTCTTCGCGTGCCAAATTCGGAATATCGAATGCCTGCCGAGACTAGCTGTTCAGCTTTGGACTTGGCAAGGAATCTTTGACCGCGCATGCTCCACCTTTTGTCCACGGTGGAAAAGTAGACTTCGCTGACGATGGCCATGAGCGGAACTTCGTAGAGAATGACGTCTTTCCAAAGCCCGCGAATGTCCATCTCGATCTGACCCAGCTCTTCCGCCTGCTCTTCTTGCTTTGCATCTCCAGATGGTTCGGGAACGAATGTGAGCGTCACTTGCTCTTTGGGCTTGAAGCGGAAAGCAGCGAGCGATTCGATGTAATGTGGCTGGAGGTAGGGGCATCGCCTTTCTAGCCATTCCTTCTCTTCAGTAGTCAGCGACAAGCCAGCCAGATCTGCGATGCGAGAGCTCTTTAGCGAAGCACGCGTGCTCAAAGTCTTGCCGCTCACGCAGCTTCTACTCACCGTCGATGCAGCGCTGAATCACGGCCACGCTGTTGCGGGTGAATTTCATTGCGACGGATCGATTGGTGAATCGATCTGGATGGGAGGGAAACGAGAGCATCAGTCGCAATACTGATAGCTGGCAAGAGAGCGCATACAATGCACTCACAAGCCACTCTCTTGCTCGGATAGTGGTGGTCCACGGCCTGCTGCATGGTCAGCTTGTACAAGTCCGTGTCCAGGATGGAGCAGACGGGCCTCCATGGCTGGGTGCCATTCGAGGGACTTTGTTCGGACATGGCTGGCACGGGTGAGGCCAGACAAGTTTTCAAGCTCCAGCGAGTTGGCCTGGGTTGCTGCAATTTGTCTTTTGCGCACACACTACTGCCTTGCTCTGTTCTTGGACTTGTTTCCTCGATGCTGTAGCACGCCTGCCGACCCTTGCTGCTATGACGTTGGACTCGACGTCCGAATGTGTGCTTTTTCCTTATCAGGCTTCAACGCCTTTCCACCCTCTGCTGCTACGAGCAATCTACGAGTGAGGGAGCAGGCTTGAAAGCGATCTAGTCTCGGTGCCGGATTCGTGATACTGAAGGCACAGTGGGTCACTGCACTCTTTAGGCTACACACGAATAGCAAGAGCTTGTGAATGTTGGTGTGAAGACTCGTAACTCGGAATCAAGATCGAGAATCAAGTGGAGGAGCTTAGGCGAAAGGGCCTTGTGACTCGTCCGACTTCCCGCGAGGCTGTGCTGCGCGGGTCTGGGCAGCAGCATCACACGCATTCAAAATCAGAATTCGAGCGCGTATCTTTCTTCTGCGCAAGCAACACATCCCGCGATTGGTGTGTGCAGAGCTTGCGACACGTGACCTCACTAAAGACTGCATCATGTACCCCGCACGCAGCACACAGCAATTTGAATTAACGATCAAGATGGTCGAAGAGGACGGCGGAAGCGGCTTTGGCTCATGCCACCATCACACAGACCCTTCCGGACTAGCGAAATAGGACTCTAACTCGTCCAAGCGCCTTTTTCACTCGCTCGTCATACCTCTTTTCGCCCAACACAAACCATCACTGCAAAGCGCCGAGCTCAACCCCCCCGGCACGCTGCAGCGTACTGCAGGCAGACCCTGCAAAATGTCCAACCCAAAGGTGAGTGTCGAGCAATGCGGGCGGGCGCTTCATGCCAGTCATTGACAAGTGTCTTCTCCTCCTTCCTCTTCTCCTCTCACTGCGTCATCTCAGTCATCATGGATGAGGGACATTTACGTCGGAGGTCTCATGTCTGGAACCAAGCCGCTGACGACGGATTACGAAAAGCTGAGGGAGCAGGCCAAGGAAAAGTTGGACCCGCGAGCTTATGCTTATGTGGCCGGGAGCGCCGGGTACGAAAAGACGGAAAAGTCCAATAGGCGAGCGTTGGATTCGTATCAGATCGGTGCGTCGTCGTTGTCCCTTCACGTCGATGGCTCTCTACCAGCCCCTCGCTCACGTCCCAACATTCTCCCCCTTGATGTGCACGACCATCTGCGCTCGCTACAGTACCTCGTATGCTTGCTGGCGTCGATATCAACGAGTTCTCGTCTCAAGTCACTCTCTTCGGTAAGAAGTTCCCAACACCCCTCGTCATCTCACCCATTGGCGTGCAGGGGCAGCTGCATGCCGATAGCGACGTGGCGACCGCTTCGGCGTCCAAGGAGCTTGGAGTCCCTTTTACACTGAGCAGCGCTACCAGCACTCCCATCGAAAAGGTCAGCGAAGGGGCAGACTATGGCGGGGAGAGTGAGGAAGGGCAAGAAGCATGGTTCCAGCTGTACTGGTGAGCCTGCAACGTGGTGAGATGGTCGCAGCGCGACTATGCAGACCTGACCATGCGATGACTTTGCTGCCCCGCAACGAATGCGTGCCAGGCCCAACGACGACGACGTCACGAGGAGTCTGCTGACACGTGCTAAAAAGGCGGGATACAAGGTCCTAGTGGTCACGCTTGACACTTGGTCTTTGGGATGGAGGCCAAGAGATCTCGACGAGGCCTACAATCCATTCTTGAAAGGCGAAGGTGTGGCCAATTGCTTCTCGGATCCAGTCTTTGTCGAGAAGGTCAGTCGGATGGGTGATATTTGAGCGGCTGCTTGACGTACCGCTGACCGTCTGTTACGCTTACCTCGCTGCGTCTCCAAGTTCTGCGAGGGCAAGGTGCGTTGATCATTTCCTGGGTACCCAACTAGAGTCCTCATGCGACTGACTACATGCCCACTGCGAATTCCCGGTAAAGTCGCCTTTGCGCAAAGATCGGACAGAAGATGATGTGACGCAGGCATCGATTGCAGCCATTGGTCTCCTGACGCCCGGCATCAGCCGCAGCTGGTCGGACTTGGCCTTGCTTCGCGAAATCTGGGGTGACCATCCGATCGTCTTGAAAGGCATCCAGAGCGTTGGAGATGCAGAGCGTGCCGTCGAAGCGGGCATGGATGGGGTCTGGGTATCCAACCACGGAGGTAAGCCGAGCAACGTCTAGGAAAGACTGCTCAAGAAACTGATCGTCTGTCCCTCGGCTCGTGCGCCCTCCAGGTAGACAAGTGGACGGAGCCATCGGATCATTGCAAGCGTTAAGACCGATCGCGCAGTATCTCCGCAGACATGCAAAGACGGTCATCTTCGATTCTGGGGTCCGCAACGGCTCCGACGTGATCAAAGCACTAGGTGAGTCGCCAGACCCGATCGGCACGCATCGACGCGCGTCGCATGAAATCAAATCACGGTGCGGACTACTGACCCCCCAGCTGTGATGAATCTCTGGTTCAAACACCGACCACCTACACCGCCACTCTCTTCCCCTTTTCTCACGTTCGAATTTCTTCCTTTGCGTCTGCAAGCGCTCGGCGCTCATGCGGTAGGGATCGGTCGGCCGTACGCTTGGGGTCTGGCAGTCAATGGGCAAGAAGGCGTTTCTAACGTCCTTAAATCCATCCTGGCAGACTTTGAACTCACAGCTGCTCTTGCCGGTCATCGCTCCATCGATGACATTACGGAGCAGTCGGTCATCAAGGCAGGCGAAGAGTCGCGGTTGTAGCGTCTAAGCGAGTCGCCTATCTCGCACGACGTTGACTCTTCCATCCTGCCATCTGCTGTACTCACTGCTAGTGCGCTGCTCCATGTTCACCTGTGCACTCGTCCAAACTTGCAGTGCGGCAGGCTTGCCAAAGGTGCGAGTGCTTTGTGGGAAATGTGAGACGCAAGATGATTTGAACAGGTATGTATTACATTGGATAAAGCGTGTGCCGGAGAGGAGGAGCGCCGTAATTGCGCCACTGGATCCAATCACAAGAATGAGCGCAACAGGATCGATCAAAGGTGGTATCTTGAAGAGAGCAGAAGGAAGGCCAAAGTGAATCACGCGTCGTTCTTGAAGAGCAGGGCAAAGCCTAGCCAGCGTAAGATTTAGAGGCAGCGTCTTGCCTCTGCGCCAGAAACGGTCCTGCAACCATCGCCAGGGCACTTTGAGACAGCTCCAGCTTTCTCTGCCATCCTCTCAATGACTGCCCTGAAGCATTGAGCTTCCTGAGCGCCTGGAACTTCAGCCGTCGCCTTTAGATGATCCTGTTCACCCGCCGCCAATTCGAAGTGGGGCACACCAGTAATGCCTTTGGATCGAGCCCTCTCGAAACCCAGCTTGACCTCGTCGGCCAAGGCTGAGGAAGCCAGCCACTCCTTTGCAGACGTCTCGGACGCAAAGAGTTCGGACTTGACCGCCAAGTCGGACAGCTGCACTCGGCAGCCGGGATCTCCTTGCTTTTCAAAGTAGTGCGTGAAGAGCACCTCGATGAATTTGTACTGCTGTTCCCAGCCGCCCTTGTCGTAGGCGTATGCCATGAGACGATGAGAATCGAAAGTGGAGCGAAGAGGACCGTTGTAGTCGCTGACATGAAGGATCGAGTAGGTCAGCGGACACGCCACACTGGCAATGTGCACGACTGGCGACTTTGTGCACGAGTCGGATGTCCATCAAGATCAAGGGACGCTCTCGGCGCCG